GTGCCACTCCCCCCCCCCCCAGCCAGAGCCACCCCAGGTTCGGAGGCTGTAGAATTTAGGGATGTTTTGGCCTTGCTGGTTTTCCTTTGCTTTGCTTCTGGGTTTTGTGAGTTCTCTGCGGGGCAGAGGCGCGGTTCAACTCGCTGCCTCCGTCCCAGCGTGGTTTTACTGCCGTGCATGTTGGTAGCAGGTTTTTGGCTGGTTTGTAGGCTCTTTTTGGCGATTCGGCTCCCCAGGGCAGGCCGGCCCGCAGGGGGGGCTCTCTTTTTGGCGATTCGGCTCCCCAGGGCAGGCAGGCCAGCAGTGTGGGCTGGGGCAGGCTCCCCTCCTTCTGCAGGACAGCCCTGGGGTAACCACAAATCCCCTGGGAAAGGGTTAGGGACTACTGAGGCATCTCAGGGGCAGGATGCGGTCCCAGGGAGGGGAGGGCATGTTCCTGCCACCGTGCCTGGCTTGCCTGGCATTGCCAGGGCTTCAGGCTAAGCGAGGATGCAGCTCTGGGGGCCAAGGAGCCATTGGGAACCAGCATGAGCTGAACCGGATCTTTCGTGGCTGCCCGTTTCGGCGCAGGCTGCCCCGGGAACCTCGGGAGGAGGCAAGGAAATGCCCCTTCCCCACAGCAGCCCCTTGCTCACCGTGGGCAGGGAGAGCCCCTGCTCCGTCCCGTTGACTGGGGATGGTCCCAGATCTCCCAGCCCAAAGGATGCGGACAGAGTGATGGGTGTTTTCCTGCCCACTCACCCTTCTGGTCCCTCTCCCCCCAACCCAGGGCGAGTTCAGCTCTCGTAACCATGTTCTGCACCGTGGCAGTGTCTTAGCCGGGGCTGGGTTTGCTCCATGGCTCTTCCTCACTGCGAAGGCTGGGGGAGGGCAAAGGCTTTCCCCGTGTGATTGCAATTAGCAGCCGCCTCCTGTGCTGCTGCTGGTGGTTATCCATCCCTTCCTCCCTGCTTTGGCTAACAGTGCTACAGCCGGGGCAGCCCCCCAGAGTGGCCAAGCTGTCCCGCTCGGGCAAGCCAGGGGGTCTTACTTGATAGCAGTGACTCACTGTGTCTTTTAAAGGTAACTTGTACGTACCCTTTGGTCCCCTAACGCTGTCTGTCCCTGTCACGTGTGACTAGCATTACTTGCCGTTGGAAACTTCCAGGGGACTTTTTTTTTTTTTTTGGCTTTTAATGTTTCAATGTAATGGTACTGGTAGAAGAGCTGTTTTTAAACGCATGTGAACTAACCTCATTAGGACTCCGTCTAGGAGCTGGAGTCCGGCCTGATTTGTATGTGCCCTTTGGGGAAAAGACAATAAACACTTGTACTAAACTTATCTCCTCCTTGCGGGTTTCTCTGGGCTGCCCTGCATCCGCCGCCGCTTTCCCTGCCACCCCTGCTCAGGTTGCTCTGCCCATCCCGGTGTGCCGGCTCTGCTGGGCTGGGACTCTTCGTGGCCAGTACAAAGGCTTCGCTGCAAGCGCTGGTCCCAGCATTTCTTTGCAGTCAAAGCGGTTTTTAATTGGGCTTAAATCCCGTGGCTGCAGCTTGGACTGGTTTTGGCTGTGGCAGTGGTGGGGGGGCGGCTGGAGCGGTTTCAGGTGTGTCAGTGCTGGGGAGCAGGGATGGGGACACACACACACAGGCTTTGGGGGTGCAGCGTGCGTGGAAGCGTGTCCTCGGTGCGGAAGGGAGAGCCGGCTGCTGCTGGGGCTGGAAGGCGACCGCAGGGCCCCTGGGTGCGCTGTGCCCTGGGAAGGGTGTCGAGAGCTGCATCTCCTGCTCCTTTCCCAGCTGTTCTCACGTCGGAGCGAACGCGGGTGTGTGGGGAGCAGTGCCGTCTCCTGGTGCCAGCCCCTGGGCTGCCGGGGGCGGGGGGGGCACCGGACCCGGAGGGACCCAGGCCTCTGGGGCCCTGCAGCAATGGCTGGGGCCTGTGGGCCCCCGCCGGCGACCCCCGCCGGCGG